TGGAAAGCAGGAGTTCCTATTTCTAATCTCAGCTTTGCCTTAGTTTGCCTATCTCCAAAATGAATATGCAACTACTCTGGGGAACATTAATAAGCTATTGTTTGCAAAGCACTCTAAACATGAAGATTGCTTTATACATGTTAATAATATTTTAAATGTATTACTTCTTGGTACCAGCCTCAAGTGTATCAGGTCAAAGACAGAACAGGCTGTTGTTTTTTTAACTACATCCATCACCCTTACCAAAATGGATGAAAGCTTTAGCATATGTTTACAGTTATCATGGAACAGATCAATTAGCAGTGGGGACCCTGAGGCTTCCTGTAGGAATAAACGGTAAAGGAGAAGTTGTTGATGAACAGATCACTACTATAGGGAAGGCCTCGGGCTGTATACCTCGGTGATAATTGTATTATTAAGGCTTGATTCTGTTGCATCCAGCTGCCCTTGGCTGCAGTAGAGTGGAGTGACTGCAAGGGAACCTGGAGCCTGCTCTGATCTACACCTGCTGGCTATGGCCCCTCAAGAGCCAGGGATTGTTAAGAGCATAGCACAGAGCCGCCACACACCTTCTTCACCCATGTGCACCCCAGACAGCAGGGGAATAGGGTACAAGTGGGCTATTCTGGCTCTGAACTTGCGGAGGAGATCCGGCCAGGTTCTGGCCCCAGGGGTATGTCTACACTGCAGCTGGGAGGTGTGATTCCCAGAGCCAGTAGACAGACACATGCTAGCTCAGCTCCAACTAGCATGCTAAAAATAGCAGTGTGGATGTTGTGGCTTAGCCTAGCCACTCAAGTCCAAGCCTGGCTGTACACTTGGATCTGAGCTCAGGCAGCTAGCCTGAGCCACCACCAGTGGTGCAAGTTCTACATTGCTATCTTTAGCGGGCTCGCTCATCTCAAGCCGTCGCAAGCCTGTCCACCCGTGCTGCGAATCAGTGTAGACATATCCTTTACGCTGGGAGGAAGTTGCACTGGGCCAGAGTATCGGGCCTACTAGATATATTTATGATCTTTAATGAAGAGCAGTTATCTAATTAAAACATCCTCGAGGCGAGGGATAGCTCAGTGGTTTGAGCATTGGCCTGCTAAGCCCAGGGTTGTGAGTTCAATCCTTGAGGGGGCCACTTAGGGATCTGGGGCAAAATCAGTACTTGATCCTGCTAGTGAAGGCAGGGGGCTGAACTTGATGACCTTTGTGTCTCTTCCATTTCTATGAGATAGGCATATCTCCATATACTATTTATTATTTTTTCACGTGTAGTGCTCAGATGCCACAGTGAGGAGCACAGCTGAAAAGCCTCCCTGTACTGATTGATGTCAGGCCATCTGTTTGCATCCCACACACTAACACAGTATTTCTTACGAAATCAAGAAAAGTCAACAGATGGCACTTTAGAGTGTGAAACATTTTCTTAGAAACTAAAGCTGCTAATAGTAAATAGCAAGGGATTTGTTTTTACATAACAGATCAAGGGGTAATAAGAAGGGAAACTCTGCAACCCAAGTGATGTCCAACACCCTGACCCATGTATGACATCATTTTTAAGTAGACCCCAAGAGGCTTAAAATCAATGGCTCACTATGCCCCCTCTTTCTAATGCCTTTGTGTCTTACATGTGCTTGCCCTTTTGTTAAGTTGCTCATCATTTATGAGATACTCTTGCTAGTAATTTATCACTCTTTGTTCTTTTTTCTTTTGCAGGCCAGAGAAGGAGAGGTAGCCATTATAGATAAGGTTCTCGATAATCCAGATTTGACATCTAAAGACTTTCAAGAATGGAAACAAATGTACCTTGATCTCTTCTTGGATATTTGTCAAAACAGTACCCCAAGGGACCCTGTAAATGGCTCTTCTGAAGTAGATGCACTTATAGCCTCTTTAGCACACACCCATTCATACATTGAAACGCATGTATAAGTGTCTTCTTTTTTGTCAATTTGCTACATTCCAATCTTTTACTCAGTGCAAAAGTAGTTTTTCTATCAATATGTGGAAGGTCTGGTAAATTATATTTTAATGTTACTAAGCTGTGTGAAGTAAACCTTACATGGTCCATGATTCCATTGTAATGGGAATTTGTATATTTTTATGCTACCAATGCTCAGCTTGTGTTTAGCTTGTGCAAAACAAATGAACATGGTTTTTAATAAATAAAAATATATTTAAAAAAATAAATTTTGGAAGATGGCGAGCTTTGAAATGAAAGCTCTAGAGGATCAGGGGTTTGTGACTGAAGGTCAGTTGATCTCTTTAAAAATATAATTTTATACTATATAATTCCAGTGTCGCATTACATTTTTGGAGTTCAGGTATTATTTTGATTATGTGGAAAATAAAACATTTTTTTATATTTAATGAAAAACTCTAGGAATTTTCTTAAGTGACAGACAAAAAGGTAAAGCGGTGATCATCGCTGAGTTTTGATGAAAACAGACAAGAATTAGATAAAGAAATAAGGACAAACAAAAAAAATCACTGACACAAGTTCAAGTATCAAAAGTTCAGGTATTAACTATCACATGCTTTTTAAAGCTGGTTTGTAAGAGACCTATAATACGGGTTTATCATCAGTGCAAATGAGTTTCTTTTGTTTGTTTGTATTTTTAATTAAGACCAAATTGTATGTTATCCCCCCTTAATTTTATTGTTGATTCTTTATTATTAATAATATGATTGCTTTTGCACTGATGGTATCAGGTTCATGTGCAGCTTTTTGCAATGACAGCAATCAGACTTCAATCATGCTTGTTAAGGATGTTTAACTCATCCAAAAAAAGTAGCTAAAGAAAAGGATTCCAACTTACTGCTTTCAATCTGAAACACTTCGACAACTCCCACATGGCAGAGAGGGAGTAAATAGGATTTTTCAGCTAATCTCCTACTTGTTTCTTAACCTGTTAAATTCAACATTGTGTATGCAGGAAAAATGTGATATTAACAAGGTCAAGAATATAATCTGAAAAACTAGTGACAACTAAAAAGCCTCTGTTTTGCTTTTGAAGAGGAACGGATGTCTCCAGCTTCTGTTGAGTTCACAAACCAATTAAAATGTTTTAAACTTACATAAGATTTCAGCTACATGTGAAACAACCCAGGGAACAGGAGTGAAGCATTTACTTAGACTTGTGCACATGCCCTGGAATGGGCATGGAGGAGGAAAATCCTGAATCATGTATTTATCCTTTACCAGCTTCTTGTTTATGAAAAGTGAACAGAGCATGACAAAATATTTGTGCTGCTTTTTAATGTTTTGCTGCAGAAGTTAAGAGTCATGACATGGTTTGATAATACTCCTGGCAAATGGAAAAGCACCCATTAGTAGTCCTTACCATGTGTTGTTCACTGAACCAGCTTTAGACTATTGCCTGTACAGCTCAGTGAATGTACTTAAACTTTAAGAGCTCGGATATTTACTGGTAGTGATCTTTGCTGTTGGGATGAAGGCAAGAAAGGAGGAGTGTCTCTCTGTTTGTTTGTTTTCAGATTTTTTTTAATTGCATTTTGGATTGCAAATGTTTTGCAGATTTTGCACAATTGTACAGAGGTGTGGCCTTTCTGCAGCCCATTTGAAATAATTCTAATTCAAGTCAACATGGCTGACGAATCATGTATTAATGTTTGTACGGAATTCTGAATCCAGTGTAATATTTGTATCATTTAGAAGAATCTGTTTGTATAAACTGGACATTTATTTACTGCATGGGTACTGACTTGTATATTAAATTTGTGAGGTTTTGTATATTTCTCATAACAAAAAATGCTTGATCTGAAATGAATTGTACTATTGTTCCAAGCATTTACACTCTTGTTATTGTTTTACTGGACCAAAAGTAAATATATTCATATAAAAATTCTTTATATCTGATGGATGTATATGCACATCACGTAGCTGATTCTTTGTTGAAACTAAGGCAGTTTAGACAATGTAGATCCGTTGCTATGCAACAGCTATTCTGCCTGCACTTTACTTTAGAAAAGTCAGCTTGATTGCTGTAAAAGGTGAAAATTAAACATTACAATTTAAGATAGTCTAGCATGAAAGAGAGGAGAACATTTGTCCCATTCGTTATGCTGCCTTCTCTTAATAGAATACTAAATGCTCTTGGACAGATATATTTTTACTGTATTAACTTTCAGGCTAGAACGGGAACAGTGCAAGATGAACTAAAATAAATTTAGCTTTTAAATGGATATTTATGAAATTTGTTTTGAGTAAATTAAATCTTTAATCACACTCTGGAATCTAGTCACATAACTGCATTTTACAGTGCCTTAAAATGTCCTCCCAACCCATTCCCTATTACTCTGTCAGCATTGCCAACGTGAAGTGAGGCAATTGCTTTCTCTGGAATAGCCAGACATTTAATATAGAATCTCAAAAGAGTCAAGTTAATTTTCTTTCCTTCTTAGTCCTTGATAAAAGTCAAGCTTTTATTACTTCGTTTCCCTCTCATATATTGGTTCAATGGTTAAAAAGAATTTCACCAACATCTTGATCATCATCTAGCAGGACACAGTATGCAGGATGTACTCACTTAAGTAGCAGGATATAGCAACTATTGTTGCATGTTCCACTGTACCTTATAATAATTATATTCATTCAGAACTGGCTGCCTCAGTTAATGTGTGGTTTTGATACAGCAAATATGTACTGTGCCAATACAGAGCACACTTTAAAGCCCCACCCTGAAGGGCATGCCATAACAAAAGCTATTTCACAGAAAGGTCGCTTCCCCTCTTGGTTCATTTCCTATATCAAACAATCAATGGTTTAATATATAACCATAATTAAGGCTACATTTTATCCAATCCCTCTTCTCCATGCAGTAATTTCTTGCTGATTAGCTAAGGCACGCTCACTTAGCTATTTACTCAAATAATACCATCCTCTAAGTGTTACTTATTAAAGCTGTTACAGGCAACAGTTTTCTGATATTTATATACTGCACTTTCATTTTGCTTAGCTATAGTATAAAATTCAATACCACTTACCATCTGGGGAAATGACCTTTAATTAAAAAAAATAGAGATTACATTTTTAACCCTTGCAAAATCTGACTTTAGACAGCTATTAAATGCTTCCAAGGAAATACAGCATTGGAATTCCTCTACATCGTCCTTTCAGGATGTGCTACTTGCCATATTTGCCCATGGTAAAACCTGCCTTCAGCTACACAAGTCACAACACATTTTTTCCCATGCTAGTGCCTGATTTCCTGTCCATAAGCACTGTGTGGGGTGTTTACTAAAGCAAAACCTCAACTCTGTTACATTTAGTGCAGTTGCAATTGTCTTTTTTCCTCTGGGGCTGCCCTGCTGTCCTGTTCTTCAGCTGTTGGAAGCATTGACTCAGAAGTTTGGCTCCACTATTATTGGGTGTCCTTAGTTTCTGCCAATTCTGAGAGTTGTAGCACTGCACACTGCAATCCATACCAAGGTAAGGGAAGTTTGCAAATCTCTTCCCAGCAGTCATTGTCTATATCATAACCCACCACATCTTGGGTTGGCACCTCCTGGGAGTCTTGCCATTTCTTTCCCCCAATGAGAAGTGCTGTTTCCTCTACCACAGCCAGACCATAGCAAAATCGGTCATAGACCAATGGCCTTAAGCGAGTCCACTGGTTTGGGGCAGGGTCATACCTTTCTATTTCAGAGAATGGTTCATACAGTCCTAAAAATGTGAAGATGGCCTCTCTGATCGTTGCCATCTGATGTCCAAATCGAGCAATGCTCATGGAGGCTTGCTTTCTCCACTGTCCTTCCAAGCTGCTCAAAGAGAACACATCCTTACTTGTGTTGGTTTGATCTGTGTATTTGCCACCTGAGATGTAGATCATGTTCTTGCAAACTGTACTGGCATGGCCATGCATCTTGCATGGCAATTCTGTAGCCTTTGTCCATCTGTCTCTGCTAATGTTGTAGACTTCAACAGATGAATGCAGTGCTCCGGTCTCGCCTCTCCCACCAATTGCAAAGATCTTGTTGTCTAGGATGCAACAAGAAAATTGGCATCTCTTTTCAAGCATTTCTGTAATTTGGGTCCACTTGTTAAATCTTGGGTCATAACGATGGACCTTGTTTGTAACTGACAAGCTGGTGCTTTTCATGTCACTTTGCAAATCTGCTGTTTCCCCACCAAGCACATACAGGTAGTTTCCAATCACACACATGCAGTGATTCTGTACTCTGTCCTGCACCTGCGTTAGAGTTCTCCATTTGTGATTGTAAACATCAAAGGCCATCACATCGTTGACCAGTCCCTCATTGGAAGTCCCTCCTCCTAGCAGGATGATGCGCGTTTGCTGGTTTCTCAGGGTGCTATACTTATCCTGCAGGATGGGCTGCTTAAAAACTAGCGAATGATAGTTTATTGCTTTTATGATCAAGCATTTAATCGGTGTCGTGAGAGACACTTCTGACTGAGTGTAGACTTTTCTCAGATCTTCCACTGGGATGAGACCAAATCTTATATGTTCTAATAGGTTGCTTCTGTGAATCAACCTGGATTTATCATGCTTCAGCCAGATGAGCACTAGATTCAGGAGGCAGGATTCGTTCACCATAGGGACGTCAGGGGATTCTACCACTGCCATCAACGATCTGAAGTTCAGTAAGAGCAGCTCCATGAAATGCAAATCCAAAAGTTTCCAGAGATTACTGATGATGTATTTTTCTGTCGCCGACAAGGCATCTGGAAGATAGAACTTGGTGGCAATGTTGGCAGAAAAACAGCAATTTTCCAGGGTCAGGTTGTTAACCAAGTACTGATTGCACAGGCCAATAGCCTCAGTCACTTGCAAGTAACTGGCAGCTTCCAGGGTGTCCTCCAGATTCTCAAAAGAAAGGGGCAACCAGGAGGTATAAATGAAATCCAGGACATGCTGGAGACCGGTGGGTGAGATGACTTGTAGGTGAATGACACTGGCTTTGGATTCTTTTGTGTAGCTTTTGAACATAGCTCTGAAATAATCACTGGAGCAGGCCAGCAGGGACTTGTGTGCAGGAAACTCATTTTCCTTCACCTTCAGTAAAATATCACACATCAAGCCTTCGGCTCTAAGCGTTTGGTACTGGGAGAGCACAGTACTGCAGTGTGCTTTGCAATAGGCCAGGAAGTAACTCATGGTGCATAATACGATGCTTTAAGCTAATTTATTAAAATTAATATGCACTGACCATTTAGAACAGTTGCACAAATCAACTTGTAGGTCCCTTTGTAAGAATGCCCATCAGAGCCTCCATCTATTCAAGAAAAGCCCAACCGAGAAAATCAGGCCCTCTGAGCCTAGCGGGCTAGCTTAGTACATTTGCAGTGAATTAAACGCATTCATTCAATGAGAAAACAGCTGAACTTAGTATCAGCCTTGGGATGCTTACTTTTCTTGCTTCCATTTCATGCAGAAGGATGGAAAGTCCACAGTTGCAGGGAGCTACTGCTTGGCTGGCCATCATGTGACGGATGTGGGAGCTAGATGACAGTCTTTAGACATGGAATTTTGCGTCGGCTCAGACGTCTCTCTCGCTCCTTCTTTCCCTGCAGGCTAATCAAAGAGCTCGTCTGCGGCTGACAGTGCATGCCGTTGAGCAGAAACAGATGAGGGGGGGAAGTGATGAGAACGTTTGCCGTTGCTTTTTCTGTCTGAGCCTTGTTTGTATTTCAAACTTAGATAAGTTTAGATCTCACTGACCGTGGGACAACAGACCACTTTTGGTGATCTTCTCTCACTATGTTAGGAAGTCTGGGCTGAAGATCAAATCAGCACCCAGGGAGTAGAGCAAAAGGGATTTCTGAGCATATAAATCTTGTGCCTGGAGGCAGAAAGAGAGGCAAAATTCCATGATTAGTCACTGGTTTAATTTGACATGCATTTCTGAGCCCTTTGGTTTAAATGGTATCACCATAACTCACACCTACCAGAATAGAATGCAAACACAAGCTCCGTGTCATAGCTGTCCAAGAGTTGAACTGAGCCGGGGATGGGGAGAAGGATAGGGAGGGGGAAGAATCTAGTAGTTTTATGAACAGCCTGAGCCGAAGCATCTGTCATTGAATGACCTGAATGGAAATCACGAGAGTAACACATTTGTATAAAGTGGTGACAAAAATAGATCCCATGTTATGTCATAGTAAACTGAACTCTGTTTATAGAGGAGAGAGAATTGGCATCTGTTACCAGCTAGAAACAAATCCCTGAACTTCTGTGGATAGTCCATAGCTGACTATATTAGCTTTTCCACTTTGAGTTTGTTCTAATTAAGTACAAATAAAGGAGGATTATTTGATTTCTCACCTACGCCTTCTGGGATCTAATTCCCACCAGGGAAAGAAGGTGTGGATGGGCTACATATCTTGGTCTCTTGAGGCTTTAGCTTTATTTGAGTAGCCCTGGGTGCAGGCTCTGAAATGCCGTAATCTGACAACAATCAGGAGTTTCCTTTTGACACCCTTCCTTCCAAACACTCAAGGCTTGCAAAGTGACAGAGTTGATAAAATGCTAGAGCATCCTGCTGCATTGTGGACCAACAGACTCTGGGGCAGGGGCAAAGTCCTGCAGTTGTCCTTTGCTGTCATCCACAGGTAAAGTTTCTCAGCATTCGAGTGGCTACGTAATATAATTTTTATTCATCCTCTGTACACTGATAGAATTTCACAGCTGATTGGAGTGTTTTTTTCTAGGAGCGTTTGTTTTCACAGTGTTACTTTACTGCTAAGTAAAACCTCAGTAATAGGGATGAAGATGATTACCGGCTGCAGTAGATAAAACAGGCTGAGTGACTTGCTCACGCATCAGAATTATACAGTGTGTCCAACTCTGACTTTTCATTGCTATAGCATTTTAGAAATGATTTTTCTGCATAGACCCACTTTCTGTTTATATTAGAGACCATAAATCAGGGTCTTATTGAAATAATAATCTGTTTTGGTAACTAGATGAAACTCACACAGACTGGTCAGGGGGTGAGAAAGAGACATTTTTTCTTATATAAGCTTCCTGTTTCCCTAGGAGGAAATTTGAAAACATTTAAGAGGAAATGAAGCAATATTCCGTGATTCAGGTCAAGCAATCTGATTGGCCTAAATTGTTCCATTTCTTTTTTGCACCAACTAAAGATAAAATGATTCCCCAGTACCATCAAACTTGTGCAGTCAGTCACCCTGTGGGTTCAGAGTGGATGTTAAATGCTACATTCCTCATTGTCATGGTGACACTTCCTTTGCTTTTGTTTTGTACATGATGTAGATGATACAAGGGTGCAATCAGACCCAGGCTGTTTAAAAGACTCTCGAAACTGTAGCTGATCCATTGTGTCACTGTAACCAGGAAAGGAGATGTGACTGCAGCTGAATGAAATGGGGCTTCTCTATACACAAAAGCTGCACTGGTTTAACTCAAATCAGTAACTGAGGCTTGGTCTACAGCCAGGGTTGCACCAGCTTAACTATCAGGGTAATGTTAACCTACTTAGTTAAACTGGTACAGCTTTCTGTGTTGACACTCTGATGTTAATGCAAGCTGGCTTATATTGGTTTACCTTACATTTTTAAATTAGAAGGGTAGTAGTACCTACTGTAAATATATAGTGTAAATTATAGATGCAGGCTAAACTGATGTACGCCAATTTTAAACTGATATGTGTCCACACACAGAGTTGTGCTGATTTCACTAAATCTATTTAACATCATACCTACAACTGGTGTAACTGCGTATAGACAAACTCTGACTTAAGCTAAATTGATATATGCCAATTGTAAATGTATTGAAATGTGTCCACATGGGTTTAACTAAACTGATTTAAAATCAATTTCAGCTAAACTGTTGCAATAGTTACATGCAGAGCAGCCCTCAGTTATGCCCATGTAAATCTGAAGTGAATGAAAGCAGAATTTGGTTCATTTTAATGGCCACTTAGCTGGTAGAAATATTTGTCCGGGGCATTTATTTGTCTGACTGGTCATTTAATTAATTACAGAAAGATCTAAACATTGGGGTGGTTTATTTTTTTAATGGGGAGTTGAAATAAAATTAAATCTTTCCCAAAGTGTGGTGTTATAAGAGCAATACCCTCATGCCAAACTGTAAAGTTTTTTGGTTGAATATAATGAGAAAGGTTATAATATATTTTTTTCAAAGTAAGGAACTTTTCTCACTGGTTGGTTGGTTGGCAGATCAAACCCAATGCTTTTACCTGAATCACTAGATAGCCTTTAAAGTTAGGTTAAAATTAATATTTCAATTACATATAATTCAGTGGTTTGAGCATTGGCCTGCTAAACCCAGGGTTGCGAGTTCAATCCTTGAGGGGGCCATTTAGGGAACTGGGTCAAAATCAGTACTTGGTCTTGCTAGTGAAGGCAGGGGGCTGGACTCGATGACCTTTCAGGGTCCCTTCCAGTTCTATGACATAGGTATATCTCCAGACTTGAGAAACCAAACTTTTTTTGTAAACTATATGCATCCATTAGATTTAGTGAAGCTACTTGGCAGAGACTTTTAGCATATTTTCTATCTAAAATGGAGATGGTCTGGAATAAAACCTCACAGTTCTATGGAAGTACCAAAAAGTCTTCAATACCGTGGAAATGCCAGATGAGAATGGGTTGTACAAAACAGATAAGAATGGGTTGTGTAAAACTTTTGGGCTTTCACTTTTGCAATTATTTTTTTCCATTGAAAAGCTGGGAAATATCATACATTGCAAAGCTTTGTCCAATAGCTTTCATCAAATAGCTTTAACAGACCACAAGTTAGCAAATATTTCTATTACCTTTATAAATGTTTCCATTATTTTTTAGGGAAAGGGCACAGAAAAGAGAAAAAACAGTGTACAAAGTTACACAATTAAAACTGGGATCATGAGTGACAAGTAGTTCACAGTAAAACAGTCATTACAAAGAGGTGCCATGGGCAGGATTTTAGCTACAAAATGTTACATAGGAAATCAGCATGTGGTGGGTATTACACTGACACTACAAAGAGATGTGAAGGAAAAAATATGCTGACTTTTGAGCTGCACAAAAGTGACATCATCACTTTAAGCAAATCTCTTTTAGTTGCTGATCGAGCTTGTGAAGTTATTTCTCATATTCTTCCCCCTCCTCTTCTCTTTTTCAGGTGCTCTTTTGTTTGTCTCCCAGGAGGACACATTTAATTAGCATGTTTATTGCTCCCTCAATGGATTAAATATGTGTTTCTCATTGAATAAAAAGCAGGTTGGGAAAGTTTTTAAACGGGGTTTACATGTCAGAGTGATTGCTGTGGGATGGGCATCAAGGCCAGCTCCAGGCACCAGCGCAGGAAGCAGGCGCTTGGGGCGGCCAATGGAAAGGAGTGGCACATCGGGTCTTCGGCAGCAATTCGGCGGTGGGTCCGAATGCAACATTATTAATCAGACTGAATCTGTTACCATTTCAGGTAGCAAGTGTCTGATATGAACTCACAACTGCTGACGTGGAAATGGGAAGTTTTTAAGAATTCCTGGAATTACATACATCATCATCTTCATGTTGTTCTTTAAATCCATAACAAAAGCTTAGTTGCCCTGGGAGTGAGTAGTGGAGTGAGAATGCACAGCTGTGCTGTACATATTTAATGTACAAACACACATGCAGGTTTGAATAATTTTAGGCAGTGATGTCACTGGTAAGGAAATAGAACATAATTTTATAGACTGGGTGAAACCCACTGAAATGAATGGTGGAGAAGCTTGCGAGGAAGAATGAATGATGTGCAAGGCAATCCTCGCAAGTAAAGAGATTATTTTTTTAATGCTGCATGACTAAATAAGATTAGGCTTGATTGTGGCAAAGGCACTCGTGATGTGCATTGTATACAGGGCCAGTCTGCCTGGGTTCGTTGCCAAGTGCATGGCTAGCAATCCTCACTGATAGTTTGTCAAGCACAGAACAGAGATTAGAAACAGTTTGTATGGATAACTGGTCAGAGACTTGGTGCTGGAGGCTCGGCTCACCTGGAAGGAAGCCAGACATTGTCCCTCCGCACAGGGAGCAGACAGTCACTATCTCCCACAATTGGGAGAAAGAATCATTTTTGCTTAATGTTTACTTTCTGTTTTTGACTGTGACAGATACAGCACTTTCCTGCAATATCCTTGGCAGACCATATGATATTAAATGTATGTATTATTGTGGGCTGGGATTGTATGTAACCTCTCTAGGAGGGAGATGTGACAGATGTGAGACCTGGAAGTTGAAAAGGCTATATTGACAATGAGCTAGACAAATATGGACTGTTGGGACAGTAAGTGTTAAGTGGATTTTCTGGGGAATCCCTAGAGAGAAGTTAATGCAAATTCCCCAACTGCTGTTATGCAAAAACCCAGCCTTTTGAAGCTATGCACAAGGCAGCGAGGGTGACCACCTCACTCCTGGTGTGATCCAGATGGGAAATTTGCACAGGCTCACCCTGCTTGCAGAGGTGAATCAAACCTATTTTTCTTCAGTAGGAACCAGATCAGTCCCTGAGAGATTACTGTCACAGCTCAGGGAAACTGCACCTGTATTTCCCCTCAGTGGCTCAACTCTCAGGCTTTCAGCTTTCTAGGCTGTAGACCCACCCCTCTCTCCTTTCTGACTGGGGTATTTCCAGGCTGAACAGTATCCTGCATTGACTGTGTTGTTCCTAACAAAAGATAGTGTGTCTCAACAAGCCTGCTTGCTTCTCCCCTCAGAAATGGTTCATGGTGTAATTGCCAACCATTATAAATTACCACACAGCACTTCCTATGCAAGCCTATTGCATTCCTTACCTAAAAGTACTACAGTGAAAACATATTAAAAACAATAAAAGAGCCTACACACATGCTAATAAGCTTACACGATACCACCCCAACTATCTCCAACATGGGCTTTGGCAGGTGAGTCCCTCAAAACCCCCAGAGGGGTCTCTTTTGCGTCACAAGTTCATAACAGCCCTAGCTCAGAACCAGCACTCAGTTTTATGGGCCTCAGTAAGAACATAGGAGCAGCCATACTTGGTCAGACCACTGGACCATCTAGCCCAGGATTCCTATCTTCTGACAGTAGCCAGTGCCAGGTGCTTCAGAGGAAATGAAGAGAA